CACTGCAGAACAAGACACTGGAGAGGTCACAGCAGGATCCATATGTTGGAGAAACCTTGTGCCGCAGGAGTCCCATGCTAGAGAAATTTGAACTGTCAACACATGGCAAGAGGAGCACACCAGAACCAGGGAGAGAAAGTCATCCTTTTCCGAAATTCCTCTGCATCCTTACTGATAAACCTTCACACCGTTTCAGGTGGCAAAGTAGAACCGTGTCCAGAGCATGTCAAGAACTAGAAAACAGGTCTAAGATTTTTATCCTACTTGCAAACTAACAAGTTAGACTGCCATAGTTTAATGGATATTGCCATAATACATGAGCTGCCAGGCTCAGATTCAAATATTGTTATTACATGTAGCATGGCAAGCAGAATGAACTTCACATTAATCTTGGTTCTCCTTGCCTCCCAAGTCCTATAGGAATGACACAGAAGAGCCCAGGCGGATGGTATGCATGGTAGGTTGGCATCACAGCTGAAGAACTCTGGTCTTAGGAAGCCCAGGTCTTTTATAAGCAAGCAAACTTGCCTAACCTTTTCCCTATTACATTTATCGTATCGGACAGTAAATAAACTTGACCCTGCTGCAAGAGGAAACACTATCTCTATCTTCCAAACATTTCTGAAAATATAGTCTGAATCAAAGGCTATTGGTGCCTCTGTTGACAAGAACAAATTGGGGGATGTTTGTTATGTAGCAGTAGATAATTGACACATATTTTTAGTACCCAAAGTAAGGTACTGTCATGATAAAATCCTGAAAATATGGCAGTAGACTTAAACTTGGACTCAATGGTGGCCTACATTTATGAAGCTGAGATGCTAAGAGTTTCTCCAGCATCATGTGGAGGCGAAAATACAAAGTCTTCTGGAGATAAGACTATTGAACTGGATTTCTCTTTTGCAAACTAAGACACAGGAGGTTGAGAAAGAACTGTCTCCCAGTGATATTCACCCCCTCATTTCTACAGGTCTTGGCTTCTGGCAAATTTATCCGTGAGTATGCCACTCCTTCAGTCACTCCTGACAGACAGAAGATGGGGGCAGGGGAGAATCTTTAATTACATAGCATTTAATTAAGTTTTCAAGCTACAGAACTCCAAGCAACAGGATCAGGCTAGCCTACAGCAGACCCAGTTAAACAAATCTGATGAGCCATCAGGGCTTACATAAGAAATCCAGGTGACTTGATCCATAATATTTGTATTGACTTTTCTACTCAGCCTGAGGTATTGATCCAGGCACAGTGAGATGTATTAGCAATTACCCAGACTCCACCTTGGCCCACAAAAAGGAAATCTAGGCAATGTTATCATCCATAACAACCCTGGGCAGTGTGTGGGGGCTGATGTGGGTGCATTTCAGGGAAAAGGTAGTATTTCCTTAAAGACCACATAGGAGGCTTTCTTCTCCTAGGAGGAATACAAGTCACTTCAGTTCTCCCACAGAAGAACAACAGCCCCAGGGACACACGTAGTGTCCTGAAAAGAAAGTTCTGTTGCAATTTGGGGATTCACTAAGTGGGACTTACATCAGTTGGAGGGCACAGATTGACAGTGTCTCCAACAACTGTGCTGGCTGGCTGCAGGATGCCATAGGGCTCCCAAGTGGCAGAGCAGCTTCCACGACAGCCTTTAACGTGCTGCAGAGCCTTCTCTTGCCCTGGTCCCCCCTTGAAACAGGCAAGTACCCAGTAATTCCCCACTCGAAACAGACAAGCAGGCTGCAGGGGACTTTATAGCTGGGTTGAAGTCACGCACACAAATGTGTATGTCATCTCCAAAATCCAAAAGGCTTAACTATCATTGTTCTTCATCATGGTAGATGACACAAGTGCAGCAACTTGTCTTTTACCTGGGAGAGGGTAACGCAACATGTTCCACACCACAGAACCACCAGAAACTTTACTGGAGTGACTGTCCCTTAGTTGTTTGGGCGTTTATTTCACACTGCAAATGTCTTCCCAAGGGATTCTAAACTACATGCTGCTTCTTGCTTACCAGATCCAATAAGCCATCAACATAGTGGAGTATTGTGACTCTTTCTGGAATGTGAAAAACAATGTGACAGAAAGCAGAATTGACATAGACCTGAGGCAAGACTGTAAAGGTATACAGTTTGCCTCGCCAAATACAGGCAGGTGGTTTCTGGTATGTCTTACAAATGGATATGGAGAAAAGGGCACCAGTCAGGTCAGTAGCTGCTTACCAAGTGCCAAGGGTTGTGTTTACTTATTCCTCTAATGATTCTGCACCTAGGAGAGCAGCTGTAGTTGGAGTCACTGCATGAATAATTTTAGACTCACCCATAGTCATCCTTCAAGATTCATCTGACTTCTGCACATTTCCAACTGGTGAATAAAGTCAGAGTGTGATAGGTACTTCTTTCAAATCTTTTATGGTGACCTGAATCTCTGCAGTTTCCTGTGGGATGCAGCACTACTTCTGGTTTGCTATCTAGGTAGGGAGAGAAGTATTCATGGCCTTCCACATAGCCCTTCCTACCACAGTGGCCCTCATCTGTTTGGTCAGAGAGCTGATGTGAGATGCTGCCGGTTTCCAAATATATCTATACCAATTATACATTCAGGCACTAGGGATGTAACACACGTGTGTCTGTGGACCAATGGGACCCAATGTGAGATAGACTTATGGGAAGATTTTACTGTCAACCGACCACAGTAAGCTCCCGCTGTGACAGAGAAGCCACAGCAACATTGTTGGTCTTCAGGATTAATGTCAATTCAGAATCACTATCTAATGATTTCTTATAAGTTTTAGCCAGGTCCTTGGAGACACAAAATGTCTTAGAAAGATTTGATTGTACTTAGAGACCAATATACACTTTCAAAAGAAAAAAAAGAGGACTGCTGGTGTGATTTCTTTCTCCTGATTAGACCCTACCTGATACCAGGGCATAAAGCTTATGTCATAAAAATTAGGCTAGGAAGACACTAGAGGAAGTTCCAGATTACCCCACCCTGGGGAGAGCAGATGGGGGTGATGTGGGTGGGAGAAAAGAGAGTTAGAACTGGAGAAAAATGGGAGGATCTTTTGGGGGGACCATCTCTCACTAGCTCCAGGTCAGGCCAATGGCTGCAGGTCATCTTGTGTTTCTTAGGCTGAGAAATCAGGTCGATTGTTCTTCCCAGCACCTTCTGATGAGGCCTTCTGTGGGGGACAGATTCTAAGGTAGCCCCGTGACCTCCAGCCCCTAATATCCACATCTTTGTGTGATACCCTTGTGTGGATTTGCTTCTAACCAACAGCAAAGGTGATGGCATGTATGTGATTATGTGTTTGTGATTACATTACATCAGATTCTAGTGACCACCTTGCCAGAGTCTGTCTCTCCCTTGCTAGCTTTAAGGAAACAAGCAACTATTTGGGGAAATTCATGTATCATGACACCATGGGTGGCTCCAGAAACTGAGATTGGCCACTGGTCAACAGCTTGCAAGAAGCAGAAGTCCTCATTTTACAGCTGTGAGGAACTGAATTCTGCCAACAACCTGAATGAGCTTGAGAATAGATCCCTCTCCAGTTGAACCTCAGATGAGACTATAACCACAATGCCTTGACTGCAGCCCTGTGGGACCGTAAGTTGAAGATCCAGTGAAGCTGTGCTCAAACTCTGAACTCACAGAAACCATGAGATAATAAATGTGTTTTTTTTAAACCACTGTGTTTGTGGTACTGTTGCTACACATCAGTAGATAATTAGCACACCCTTCCATCAAAGTTGCTTACATGTAACCCATTAGTCACAATGTTTTCTTATGCCCCCAGGACCCAGTCCAAAATGCCTTTGTGGATACCTGCACTACTTGCGAGCACTCAAGACATCAATCCTCTATCAATCATAGGTGAAGTCATTGGTACCCAGAAAGTCTCTGGTTGCCTAGATGCTTCCAGTTTCAGCACTTGGGTAGAACTAGAGGGCACTGGGTCCCAGGGATATTACAGGTGCCTCTAGCAAGTACGGGCCCAATGCAAAAGCAAATGTGGACCATCCCCAACATGCAATACAAAGATTTCCCGCCCTTTCCCTATGAGTAGAGAAAGTGGCATCAGCTGGGCAAGGGCAAAGTTCTTTGTAAAAGTGAGAACAATGTATCAGATCACCAAAGGAAGGAGGCTGGCACCTTACTTCCTTACAGAATGCAGTTTCCATTTCCCAGGTAGAATCTGGTGGTTCCCAAGACATCCATGACTCAAAGAACTTGCCCCTTGGTAACCAACGATCTGCTTTTGGAATTCAGATTAAAAGCTTGAGCCCAGGCAAAGCTCATGTCTCTCCAGAGCCCATTTTTTCCTCCTGTTCTTTGCCACTTGACCCTTTCCCTGTCTCTCTTTCCCACAGTCTTCTCAGATCTTCCTTTAATCCAGCCCAGGGATGGCTGTGTCAAGGGGAGAGTTTAATTGCAACCGCATTTCTCAGGCCAGATGGAGCCAATCAAAGTCGGGATTTGACTGGTGACATTTGACCCCAGGAACAATTAGGTGCTCCCTCCTCTAACAGGGGCCATGGCCCCAAGCAATGCTTGGTCATCACAGGTATAGATTCACCATTGACAGTATGACCAGTTGTTGGCATTTATTCTTCACAGACATTATGTGTTAGGACGCTGAGAAATTTTGAAAGGCTTTTTTCTTTTCTCCATTGGATATTTATTTCACCTGAATGAGAATGTTAGCTACCGGAATTGTACATTGTCAGTACTTGGAGAAAACAGACAGGGTTTGAATTTTCTTGAATACCAAATAAGATTGTTCTTATTTTACTTGTCATGCTTTCCAGGCAGGCCAGGCATTGACTTAGCACCTCCTTTTTTTAAATTTTATTTTAAAGATGTGGGGTACAAATCAGGATTAGGTATGCAAGTGGTCATCAGACAGGTATTTAGCACTTCCTCAGTCAACAAAATACAACTCACCAAAGCACCCACCTTGTGATAGAGTCCATATCTATCCTGCCTTACTCAGGGCCCCAGGATTATTGTCATATGCCCTTTATATAACTGACTATAGCATTCACAATGTTCAGGGAGCATGGGAAAGAGAAAGGCTTCTTATCAAATAAGATAATGCAGGCATGAAAGCCATCCTCCACATGGTACCATGTCACACGGACTCCCTGGTCCTCCAAGCGCTTCTTGTAGAGCAGGGAGTCATCACGGAGGACATCATTCTCACAGCTCACCAAGAAGGCCTCAGGAAGCTGAGCAATGATCTCATCATCTGCTGTCAGGGGTGAATTTTCTGTATCCAGTATGTGTTTGACTTCTAGATAGAGAACTTCGTTAAAAGGGGCAGGAACCCTGGGTTGGTAGCCTCTTTGCTTGAATCTCTTGGGGATGTTGTCAGGGCTGATCCACTTCCCGTACTTCCTCCAGACATCCGGGGGTACATGAGCACCATTCAAGATGGCCTCCCGCCAGGAGCGGTCAATGGCAAAATAGTTACACATACAAGTCACCATGAACTTCCGGGAAAGGAATGGTACGTTTTGGTTCTGCTGAAAGGATGGCAATTGCATACTGAATCCTTGGATAACTGGACAAATCAGGACCTGAGCCCGGATCCGGGGGAGATCTGATCTGCCCAGCAAGGTTTGGGTGACAAAGGCAGCCACCCAACCTCCGATGCTTTCTCCACAGATTACAACCCGGGAGGGGTCCACCCCATAGGCTTCCAGGGCCTTCAGGAAGTGAATGGAGGCGTTCAGGCAGTCTAGAGAAATGATGGGGAAGTGGTGATCAGGAAATTTGCGGTACCTAAGGAGAAGAAAGGAACGACAGTATACTGGTGTGGACAGATGCTGCTTGGGGATGGGGGCATAGCAACAGAAACCTCAACCCACCCCCCGTCCCAAGACTGTATCCAATTAAATCCTCAGGATAACCCTGTGAAGTAAGGATTTTTATCCCCATTCTTTTCTTAGGAAAATGTGAAGAATCTACCCCGAGACATACAGGCCTGGATTATTGCCTCCAAACCTATGTTCTGTCAGTTTCCCATAAATGTATAAACTCCATACAAGATTATACAACTTTAAAGCTATTTGCAGCCAGGGGCAGTGGCTCACGCCTATAATTCCAGCACTTTGGGAGGCTGAGGTGAGAGCATTGCCTGAGCCCATGGGTTTGAGACCAGCCTGGGCAACTTGGCGAGACCTCATCTCTACAATAACTCAAAAACTTAGCCGGGCATGGTGGCACAGACCTGTAGTTCCAGCTACTTGAAAGTCTGTGGCAGAAGGATTGCCTGAGCCCAGAAGGTCAAGGCTGCAGTGGCCATCAGCATGCCACTACACTCCAGCCTGGGCAACAAAGTGCAACTTCAACTCAAAAAAAAAAGCTATTTGCTAGGATGGGTGTGGTAGCCCACACCTGTAATCCCAGCACTTTAGAAGGCCAAGGCAGGAGGATTGCTTGAGCCCAGGAGTTCAGGATCACCCTGGACAACATAGCAAGTCCTCATCTCTACAAAACAAAAAAATTAGCCAGGGATAATGGCACGTGCCTGTAGTCCCAGCTACTTGGAAGGCTGAGGCAGAAGGATCGCTTGAGCCCAGAGGGTCCAGGCTGCAGTAAGCCGGGATCATGCCACTGCACTCCAGCCCGAACAAGAGAATAAGACCCTGTTAAAGTCAAGGGGAAGTTTCTTTCAGGCAGAAATTTTTTTAATATCAAAAATCTAATGGTCAAAGCTTATTCTTCCTTAATGATTCAAAGAGTTGCCTTCTCTTCCGGGGTCAGAGGGAAGCAGAAAGGAGATAGGGGGTGTTCTGAGGTTAAAAGTGTAAAAAAGGGCCGGGCTCAGTGGCTCAGCCTGTAATCCCGCGCCTTTGGGAGGCTGAGGTGAGTGGATTGCCTGAGTCCGCAGGTTCGCGACCCACCTGGGCAACTTGGCGAGACCTCATCTCTACAATAAATCAAAAATCAGCCAGGCATGGTAGCACGCGCCTGTAGTACCAGCTACTTGGAAGACTGAGGCGGAAGGATCGCTGGAGCCCAGCAGGTGGAGGCTGCGGTGGCCGGGAGCGGCCACTGCACTCCAGTCTGGGTGACAGAGTGAGACTCCAACACACACACACAAAAAAAAAGTGTAAAAAAGGGAGAAAACAGAGAGTTCAAGCTGCGGAAGACCCAGGTACCAGTGACTGGTGAAAAACGTCCCAAGGGTTAGTCTAAGTATCTCAAGATTTGGTCCCCAATGTCTCCTTGAAAGAATTCAAGGGCAAGGAAAAGGAACTTACAATAAACCTCTAAAAACAGTAAAGCACACACTAGCTAATGCCTGAATCAACTCTGGAACAATAGAAAGGAATAAGTAGAAAAACAGAAACAGTTTGGCTAAACTGATTGGATTAGAGAGTTTATCTGAACAATTATTGCTGTCTTTTTTTTCCTTGTAGAGATAGGTCTTGCTATGCTGTCCAGGCTAGACTGGAACTCCCAGATTCAAGTGATCCCCCAACTGAGCCTCCCAAATTGCTGGAATTACAGGTATGAGCCACTGTGCCTGGCCTATTCTTGCCTTAAATGTCTAGTTGAGGTTGTTGTTAATTGTCTTTTCTTACAATCTGTCACTTAAAACATCAGAAAAGTATATTCTAACTGTAAGATTAAATTTGGAAAAAGTTCATAAGGAAAAACATTTTAGACTAGTGGCTTTCAACTTTGGTTAGAAAAACAAAATTTTTTTGGCATTAAAATTATGTAAGGAGCCCCACTGTGTAAAATACATAAGTGCCGTTGTTCTTGTTTTACCCAAGGGCAAGGAGCCTAAACCCTCACTCTTTCTTCTTCCTCCTCCTTGACCTCCATAGCCACCTCCAAGACATCACAGAAAGCCCTAGGGTTCAAGGGAACCAGTTTGAAAACCACTGCCTTCTGTTAGGCCTTGAATTTTGTTTCCTTTAAATGTTGAGCTAGCCGGGCTCAGTGGCTCAGCCTATAAGCCCACGCCTTTGGGAGGCTGAGGTGAGTGGATTGCCTGAGCCCGCGGGTTTGAGACCCGCCTGGGCAGCGAGACCTCATCTCTACAATAAATCAAAAAATCAGCTGGGCGTGGTAGCGCATGCCTGTAATTCCAGCTACTCGGAAGGCTGAGGCGGAAGGATCGCCGGAGCCCAGCAGGTCGAGGCTGCGGTGGCCGGGAGCAGCCACTGCACTCCAGTCTGGGCGACAGAGTGAGACTCCAACTCAAAAAAAATAAAATAAAAAATAAATGTTGAGCTAAAGCAGCATCATCTTTAAAAATAGGGTTTAGCTGGGCTCGGTTGCTCAGCCTGTAATCCCGCGCCTTTGGGAGGCTGAGGTGAGTGAATTGCCTGAGTCCGCGGGTTCGAGACCCACCTGGGCAGCGAGACCTCATCTCTACAATAAGTCAAAAACTAGCCGGGGGCATGGTAGCGCACGCCTGTAGTTCCAGCTACTTGGAAGGCTGAGGCTGGAGCCCAGCAGGTCGAGGCTGAAGGATCGCCGGAGCCCAGCAGGTCGAGGCTGCGGTGGCTGGGAGCGGCCACTGCACTCCAGTCTAGGCGACCAAGTGAGACTCCAACTCAAAAAAATAAATAAATAAATAAAATAAAAATAGGGTTTGACCACCCGTTGGGTACCATGTCTACTACCAAGGGAAAGAGGGCTCACGATAAGCCCAAGCCTCATCTGCACGCAATTTACTTATGTAGCAAATCCTCACATGTACCTCACAACTCTAAAATAAAAATAAAATAAAGTACAAAAAAAATTAAAATAGGGTTTGATTGTTCGTAACATAACCTGGCAACATTTTCTAGATGAGCAATGTATGAGGTCCAACAAATAAGTTCGCAAACTCTCCTAGAAAAAGTGCTACATACCTCATTGCTGAATATCACTATTGTCACCTTCAAAGTACTCACCTTGGGAAGCTATACACTGACGCCAGGGCTTAGTACACCTGCCAAAGCAATTATGGAACTCTTCATCTGGAATGACCATCAGACCTGTCGTCATATTACACTTGATGTCCTGAATGTCGTCAAATATCTTCCTTTCCATATTTCTTTTATCTTCGTGTAAAGATAAAGCCACTGGGGGCCAGACCACGTGAGTAAGGAGGGTGTTCCGGTACAGTTATTTGTACAGTGCTGCCAACATAAGCGCACAGTGGCAAGTCCACAAACCTAATTGTCAAGCCTCAGCAGATAATGATGACGGCCCTGATGGTCATTCTAGAAAAGGAGTTCCAAAATTGCTTTGACAGGTGGACTAGGCGCTGGTGTTGGTGCATATCTTCCCAAGGGAAGTACTTCAAAGGTGACCATGGTGATATTCGGCAATGAGCTACATAGCAGTTTTTCTCATGAATCTAATAGTCAGACCTTGTATGGATAAATCAATCCATGTTACCAGCATGGGTTCCCACATAAGCTCAGACAAAACTCATGCTACTTCAGAGGCTCCTGCAGGGTGGGGGGTCCCAGTACCTGGCAGCAGCAAGCACAGATGTTAGAGTCCATTTTCCCCCATTCCTAGACGTGAATACTCCTCACTAAATGTTGAATATATGACTTCAACATGATGAAAGAGATGACAAACATGTGCTTCCTATTGGAAAGATCCTCAACCTGGCAGAAAGAAGCAGAAATGCCCCCATGCCTCCTGTACTACTCTCTCGCCCACTGCAATGGACTGAATGTATCTCCCCCCCAGAACTCCTGTGTGGTAGGATTCAGAGGTGAGGCCTTTGGGATGTGATTAGGTCATGAGGAAGGAGCCCTGGTGAATGGGATCAGTGCCCTTTTAAAAGGGACTCCTGAGAGCGCTCTGGCTCTTCTGCCATGTGAGGCTATGAGAAGTTGACCCTGTACAGCCTGGAAGAGGGTTTGCACCAGAACCCAACAGCTGGCACCCTAATCCTGGTCTTCCAGCCTCCAGAACTGTGAGAAATAAATTTGCTGTTTAAGCCACCCAGTCTATTGTAATTGGCTCTAGCAATTCAAACTAAATTACTCCTCCCCAAAAGTGAAGGCCTTGAGAACCAAGAGGTCAAAGATTCATCTTCTCCAGGAGCTTGGGTGGGGAGTCCCATCCAGGCCCAAGACATAACCCTTTTTTTTCAGTATCTCTCAAGGAGTCTCCTCCCAAGGACTGTCCCTCTGCAGTCCCCTGGCAGCCTGAAGCCCCTTATCTGTCTATGTGTGTAGCTCCACCAGCCGCCTATCAAATCCGGTCTGGCCCATGCACCAGGCCTTTTCAAGTATCTGAAATAATGATATATTAAGCAATTTCCTATATAGGATTACTACAGGTGCCTATTAATACTTATGTGCTAGCTGTTCAAGGGACCTTTTTATTATCACAAAGGTCTTCAAGACATAGACTCAAATGGTGAAATTTCAGACACAATGGTAACTTCTTGGGAGGTGTGTCAGTGAATACAAGAAAGATACTTCCTTCCTCAGTCTTTTTTTTTTCTTTTCTTTTCTTTTTAAGTTGGAGTCTCATTCCATCACCCAGACTGGAG